GTTTCAGCTCCTTGGACACACCCCTACTCCAGTCCCAGCAGGAGTGGAGTCACGTGACCCTGGTCTGGCCAATGAGAAGACCTCTGGCTCCAGGTTGTTAAGAGGTGGGCACATGGTTGAGTCTGGTGCAGTGCTGCTTTTCCTGGAGTCATCAAGACGCACCTGTTCCCTTCCCACTGGAACAGCTAACGCAGGTGAGTGGCAGGGACCTGGCAGAGGTCACTTGTGCCCACTCATAGGCTGTCTGAGGATGAAGTGTGCCCATAGGAGAGCAAAGCCTAGGCAGGGGGGATGGCATTACTTGTTGCCTTGATCCAGCAGTACCTGAACCAAACTCTGTGACTTCTCAGTTACAGAAGCCAGTCCATTTCCCCTGTTAGCTCAAGTCATTTGGAAATGGGCTTCCAGTTCTTGAACTGAAAGAATCCTCCTGGTCATTGCATTTTTCTTTTCAGCCCCTGAGGGAACTTCCTTTATACCTCTTAGAAAAATATCTAACATATGATATTGTAAAACGTTGAATAATAGTCTCCTCCTGGCACTGGCTGTGAGCCCCAGGGTCCAGTACAGTGTGTAGCTATTACAAAAACATTTTTAGAGTGAATAAATAACTCCCTAGGATCCCAGCCTATGTCTTTGTCTCCTCAGCACCTAGGAAAGCCTGGTTCATAGAAGGGTCTCAATACATGATTATAGAAAATAAATAGTGACAGAGAAACAAAGCACACCAATCATCTAAACCAATGGTTTGCTGTGAATGAACAAATGACCAAATAGTTATTATGAGCAGAGCCCCATGGGCGTGCCTTCTGACTCTGTCGCTTCTAATGGCCCCATCAGTGAAATGCCTCCTCAAAAGTCGCTGAGATCAAATGGCTGCAGTTGGCTTAAATTCCATGTGTCAAATACCTAGTAATTAAAACAAGGCCTTTCAAAGGGAGAGTGTTGCCCCAGAAATGGGGCAAGCTGTATGTCTGCACAGTAGATGTGAACTTCTGTGTCCCCACCTACAAAAACAAAAGCAAACAAAGGAAGGGGAACAATTCAAGGGGATCCCTGGGCAAGAAAGGGGCCTGTGAGGCTCTGGGCTGCTACAGGTGCAGCTTATTGTCCTTGGCTCCTTAGAGTATGGGCCCTGAGTGGTCCCCAGCCCAGGCAGGACTGCTGCACCTAAGAGGAGCCTGGGCACAGCACACACGTCGAGCCCTCTCTGCATGCTCTGTAGTATGAGCCCCGTTTTCAAGTGTGGAAATGGAGGCCCAGAGGGGTCATTTATGATCCCGAGATGACATGTCTGCTAAGAGGATGATCTGGGTTTGATGGCAAGTATGTAAAACTCCCATGCTGCTCTCTCTTTATCCAGATGGCCACAAGACAGAGGGTAGAGGAAGAGAATCAGGTCTAGTGGTTTCTCCATGGCCTTCTCCTCAATGACTCCCACTAGTGGAGAGGCCAGCTTTGTAGCAGGCTGGCAACCCCTTCTCATCTCAGCATGATCCTCTGTCTTCCAGGGACCCAGATCCCAGGTATTAGCAGGGTCTCTTGCATCCCTAAGCCTAGTCCTCTGAAGACATCCAGGGCCTTGTGAGGAACATCAGCAATGGGGAAAGCATTTTCCTTTAATTTGATGCAAAGGTCTTTGAGGGTCGGAGTCCAAATCTACCCACTGGGTCAGAGCAGAACACACAGAATCCTCCCATGTCAGCCAGAACACACAGAATCCTCCCATGTCAGCCAGAGGAAATCCAGTGTGTGTGTGTGTGTGTGTGTGTGTGTGTGTGTGTGTGTGTGTGTTTGTGTCTGTCTGTCTGTCTGTCTGTGGAAGCAGGGTAGGGGCCTGATTTATACATGGCCGTAACTTGGAAGGGTGTGCCAGGGTGCTCCGGCAGTGTGCCTGTGGCAGGGTAGAGGGGGGACTCTGTGTACAGTGGGGAGTATGAACAGGGAACAGAAGCAAACCAGCATGGATTGCTCAGCTTTTGCTCACAGCCAATCACCTGTCCCAAAGCAGTTCACGAAGGGAGAGCAGGTATAAGTCCTAGGGCCTCTCTGGACATGGTGGAGCTGTTTAGCTCAGGGCTCACGGTAGCAACAGCCTTCTCCTCTCTAACAGTCATGGGGTTGGGGGGGCGGGAGTTAGAAGGCCTGTGCCAACCAGCAAACCAGAGAGACTGAGATGCTGTACACCGCTGGGCTCTGAGGATGGGTGCACCCTGCTGTTTATCTGTGCTTCCCACCTGCCCCATCCTTTATGATGTCGCCGGGAGGCTGCCGAGTGATTATTTCCTGCCACACTCTTGGGCCTTGGTTGTCCTTTGTTTTATGAAATAATGTGCCCAAGGGTTGGCAGGTTTTCTTCTAAAATAGCCTTATTTTTCAAAATAAGAGATGATCAATCTGTTCCCACCATCCCTGTACCAGTTCAGGAAATCCAAATGTTAAAGTTCCTCATTAAATCTCTCCAGTGCCTTTCTCTCTCCAGGAAGGAGAGGAATGGAAACTGAGTCCGGCACATGACACACCCCTCGCTTCTGAGTCCATGGGAACCCGCTGTCAAGGAAGGCACTTGGTAGATGTTCCTTTTCAAAGGACCCCTTTCTCCTCCACGGGATAAGTGAGGCCCAGTTGTTCAAAACTCTCCTAATGGGAGTCTTTCCCAGAACTCCAGAAGACAGGCTGAAATCATGACACATGTTCACAAAAGCTGAGTAGCTTTCACAGGAATCCAGGGAGCCCTTAAGGAGAGGGGCAAGGAAGAGGGCTGCTTCTTTCCACACCTCAGTCCTGAGCCTCTGTGTTTGTTTACCCCTAATTGCCAGGCATGTATAAATTAGAACAACAAATGCATCATCCTGCCTGGCACCAGTGACACCAGCCCTGTGAATAATTAGAATTTAATCTTATGGCAAAGAGTTGGGAAGGACTCCCCCAGCGATCTCCTCTACATAATGCCTTCCCCCACTGGGTGACTTAATAGGAACAGGAATGCTCTTTGAGATCTGTTTCAGTCCAGAAGTTTGGGCGATATAGAGACTCATACCTGGGGGCAGGGACTATAGGAGACCATCTGGCCCAGGGCTAAACAGCTGAGTCAGTCAGGCCCCAGGCAGGAAGAAAGGGGACAGGTAAGGACATCCATCTTCACATCTGTTTATAGAAGTGGAAACCTGGGAACGATCTAACAAAAGACCTAGTAAATAAACCATGTCACAGCCTTAGCAGGGAGAGCTACACTGCCAGGGAAACCCATCAGGGATGGAGCATGTGGTACCTGGTTGAGAAGACAGACTTTGGAGTGCTATTAGCTCAGGTTGGAATCCTAGCTCTGTGTGGCCTCAAGCTAGTTGCATAACTCCTTTGGTCCTTATTTTCCTCTTTTGCAAAAGGCAAGAAATTATGCTCTTTACTTCATAAGAATCTTATGAATATGAAATTATGGCTATAAAGAACTTAGAACTGGCCCGGCACCTACGGGTAGAAAATGCTCAATGAATGACTCTTTTATCACATAATATTTTGGAGGCCTCTGTGATGATGTAGGAAAAAATTTCACGATTCTATGCTAAGTTAAAAATATATGAGTAAAGATATATCCAGATCCTAATCACAATATTAAAATATACAAATAGCCAGCCTATCAAGAACAAGGCCAAAGAGGTGCACACCATGATTTTAATAAGTTTCTCTCATTTCTTGCTCTCCAGTTTTTAGTTTTTTTTTCATGTATTTTTGGAGGAGCATGCACGTTCCACTTGCTACCAGAATAATGGCTATTTTACTCTAAGAGGCCAAAGTCTCAGGGTCTGCTGGCTGAGCAGCTCAGAAGGACTCCAATCTAGTGGGCCCAAGTCTTTTCCCTCCATGTGCTCTGAGACTCGTTCAGAACACCCACTCCATAGCGGACTTTATCCAGCAGAGCACACACTTCACAAAGGACTACGTCTGCCTCAGGTGGGTTTTCACTGCTGTGATAACATACATGCAAGAGGTGTGCAGTAAGAACCCCCTGTCCTTTGTCCTTTACTCCCTCCCAGTTCCCTCTTTCCTTGTCTGACAGCCATCCCAATAACTGCCCTGACTGTGTCCTTAGACATCAGCCTCCCGACTCTCACAGCCCTACTTCCTGTTTTTCCTGCCACCTTCGTTGATGCCCTTCTACCCTCTGCCCCATGCCCCAGTCAGCCCTGCCTTTCCCTGTCTTCCTGTAGCCATAAAGTCCCTGAAGATGCTCATCCCAACTTGACCCACATCTAGACACACTTTCTGCCAGATCCTGATGTGGCACTAAGCCCCTCATACATCCTCATCCTGATAATACAGTCACAGTGTGAACCTTAGAGAACACTTTAAATGCCATATCACTATGGGCCAGACTACTCACATAATGGGCAGCCAGACACTTCAGTAAGCCATCCTTCACTTGGGCATATCCTGACAGTCTAAGCCTGGAGACATACCAAGCAAGGAAGGCTGGCAAGTCCCCACCCAGCCATGTGCTCCCTGGCTTATCAACATCTGCGTGTGTCCAGGGCGTGCAGGAAGAAAAGCAGGCTTCAGGCAAAGCCTGCTCCAGGGAGGTGAGCCTCTCCATCGCCCTCTATACACATACACATACATCATCCATCTCAAGGCCTCAGAGGTGTTTGAGAAGCAGTGAAGATGCCTGTGTCATCCACAAATGCAACAAGATTTCAAAGAGTGCCACTGAGACCCTGTTCACACAAGATGAAAACATTTTTAGCTTTAATCCAAGTTCCTCAATGAAGTTCCATTGTGAAAATCTTCAGCAAGGATACACTTCAAATCAGATATGAAAACACAACCCAGCTTTCAAACCATGCAATGATTTCTCATAATGAGATGCAAAGACTCCAGGGTTCATATACAAGCCAGTAGTGAGGAGGCTGCGGGGAAGGCACTACAAAGGCTAGCTCGTGCATTCCTGTCCTCCCCAGGCAGAGAGGCGAGGGGGGAAGGAAGAGGCCAAGAGGGGCACTCACCAGAGGGAGGAGCCTTCGGTCCCTGTGACCTCCAGGAAGTCATAGCCATCTTCCAGCTGGAAGTCAATGAAGACCAAGGCGATGGTGTCCCCTAGCTCAGCCAGGATGGTCCATGTGCAGTCAGCATTGTTGTGGTACTCAGCAGGAAAGTGGGGGCTGGAGATGATGCCACTCTGGCCCCGCAGCGTCCCACCACAGGCATCATCCGCTGTGAGAAGAGACAAGAGGCTCCTGTGAGTGGTTAGGTTCCCAGACCCTGACTTCACCCATGAGAGGCTCAAAGGGTCTTGGCACATGAGTATGTGGGTAATTCTCTCACATCTGGTCTAAATCGGGGCAACTACCAAGGACACTTAACACTCATGTGGTCCTGAAGGGGTGCCAGGCTCTGTACTGAGAATTTTAGCTGTTACTGTTACTGTTCTCCTTCAACAGCTAAAGAAACCCAAGGTTAAGAAACCTGCCCTGGTCACACAGCTAATGAGCAGACAGGGCTAATCACTGAATCCTGTCTCAGCAGGCACACCCTAACCGTTGCACAGCACTGTTCCTAATGACAAGCAGGGAGAGGAAGCCAGCTGTCAAGTGGAATACTTCATTGCTACAAAGGGAACAACAGATCACTTCTCCCCACCAGATCTTAGCAAACTTCAGAAGTGATAAAACAAAACAAAACCAGGTGTGGTGGTGCATACTTAAAAATCCCAGCACTTGGGAGATAGAGGCAGGAGGGTAGGGAGGGTCATGTAGCCTTGGCTATATGAGATCTTGTCTCAAAAACATAAAAACAAATTCCTTAGAACAAAACCCCAAAGCCTGAGCCAGCAGCCTTTCCTCCTGTCCTGCTCCTAGGTCAGTTATATCCCAGAACCATCTGAACCGTGTAGAGTCAGACCTCCCCACAGTTGACTCACTCACCCCTATGGCCCTGGCCAACTGCCCTGATTCTTCCAGACTCATCTCAAAGGCCTCCTCTTGGTGACGCCTGGTCCCCTGGGGGCTCTCAGCACCTTGCTGTCTCCTCCAGGCTCCTGACAAAGGTTCCCACTGTGGACCTTGTTGTTTTCAAGTCTTCCTCTGCCCCTTGGTTCTGACGGGAGCTGGGAGAAGACTTACTGCTCTGGCCTAATTCCCAGCTGATAATCTGAGGACCATACTCTGCCGTATGGTATGAACGGCACTGGCCTTGACCTGCTGCAGACCTTGGCTTGGTTACCTTCTCTGCCGTGACTAGCTAGGTGACCTAGGGCAAGTAATTCACACTTTCTAAGCCTTTTCTTCTGGGCCCTGTGTGCAAGTGGGTAACTATCACACACTGAAGCTTATGCTGTTTAGGGAGAGAGACTGAACTGTAAAGAAAGGGAAACGTTGAGAGCTAGCTAATCTAAAGTTTCAGAGCTTGCACAACAGCATGTACAAGACCTGCACAAGCCCAAGCCAAAGAAAATCCCAGCATGGAGTGGGGAGGTGAGCAAAAAAACACCCAGCTTGAGCTAAGGTACTATTGGCAATTGATAGGTACTGAGAGAGGGAGAGTCAGTTTTCTTTAGGGGTGTGATGCTGGGGAGATTGACGAGACTCCACATCCAAGAGCATTTGGGAACACAAATTAGACTTGATAGGCCTTAAAAAAATAGAAGACTTGAGATCCCATCCACTATACCTTGATCCTCCTGCAGCTTGAATAGCTCTACTCTTCCGGCACGGCACTGGGTCCCCCTTCTAGCCTTGGGCCCAGGCTAGCTCCTGCTCTTCTGCCTCAGATCTCTGGACTAGTTTCCTAACCCAGACTAGCTTAATTCTCTAGCATAGTTTGTCAGACCCTCCACAGGTTGTCCCTACCCCCCACCTTGCCCCTAGCCTCCTGATCTGTCTGCCACAGACCTGCCTACTACCCTGGTAAGTCAGAGCTTGTACTGCATCTTGATTCCCTGAAGCCTGAACAGCTCCACTCTCTGCCTGCATTTGGGACCCCTTTCTAGCCTTGGGCCCAGGCCCACTCCTGCTCTTTCTGTTCTTGCTCTTTCCACACCTGGTCTCTAGACTCCCCTCTTAGTCCAGACCCGCCTACTGCATCCTGATCTTGTGCACTCAGACTAGCTCAATTTGTTAGACCCTCCACAGTCTGTCCCCACCCCCGTTTAGCCCTTGGCCCCCCCTCCTTAATTGCCTATGACAAACCTGCCTGCTACCCAGACAAGCCTACTACCCTTTGAGAACCTGAAACACAGATCAACTAACTTTTCATACCTGAGCAAAGAGCAACCAAGCTACATCAACAATATAAACAACCAAACTTCAACTAAGAAAAGGTAGAATATAATTTCCTTTCAAACACAAAACCAACAAAAGACATCCATATGCCCAAACAGCAATGTAAAAACACAAATATTATGAAAAACCAAGAGAATACATTCTCAACAAAGCCCACCAATCCTACACAAGCATACTACAGTGAAAATCACTGACACAGAATTTAAGAGAACAATCATAAGCATGATCAAAGAACTTAAAGAACACACAACTCAAAGAACTCAAAGAGGATAAGGATAAATTTGTGGCCAAAGTTCAAGAAAATATAAATATGTGGCTGAATGGAATACCAAATCAATTCACAAAAGAGACAGTAATATTGAAGAAAACCTAAGCCAAAATGAAGATGAATTGAAAAATTCAGTAAGTCAATTGGAAACAACAGGAGGATGCCTCACGGCAGAATGAATGAAATGGAAAACAGAATATCAAGACTGAACAACACAGTTAAAGAACTGGATTCCTCAAACAAAGACTATAAATTTTTTTTTTAAATACAGGAATGGAATACACAGGAAATATGGGACACTGTGAGAAGACCAAATCTATGCACCATAGGCATACAGGAAGGAAAAGAATCTCGGATCGATGGCATTGACCAAATGTTCAATAGGATTATAGAAGAAAAAGTCCCTAAATTAAGGAATACCTTAATTTACCTTAATACCTAGACAGATACAAGAAGAATTGGTATTAGACAGGACCAGAACAGCAACTCCCCAGGACACATAGTAAAAACACTAAATATATAGAACAAAGACAGAGTACTAAAAGCTGCTAGAGGAAAACAAGTTACATATAAAGAGAAATGCATCAGAATTACAGCTGACTTTTCAATGCAAACTATGAAAGCCAGAAGAGCCTGGACCAAAGTATTCACAGTTCTAAATGACAATAGCTATTGACCCAGAATACTTTGCCCAGCAAAATTATCTATCATAGTCAAAGGGGAATGGAAAATTTTCCATGACACAAATAGGATGAAAGAATTCATGTCCACCAAACCAGCCCTATAACAAATACTCAAAGCAATACAAAGGCCTGAAGATACGAATGACTATACCCAAGAGGTTACAGAAAGAAAACAAAGGAAGGTATAATTACGGAAACATAAAACAGGGAGAAGACCACAAACAAAATGACAGGAACCCATACATATCTTTCAATAATAATTCTAAATATCAGTGGCCTCAACTCTCCAATCAAAAGATACAGGTTAGGTGAACGGATTAAGAAACAAAAATCTATCTTTTTGTTGTCTTCAAGAAACTCATCTCACCTTCAATTACAGGCACTACCCAAGGGTGAAAAGATGGAAAAAATATTCCAAGAAAATGGCACTAAGAAGCAAGCAGGTGCTGCAATTATTCTAATATCTGACAAAAGAGACTTCAAATTAAAACTAATCAGCAGTGATAAAGAGGATCACTCCATTCTAATCAGAGGAACAATTAACCAAGAAGATAGTAGAGTCATGAACATATATGCACCAAAGTCTGGTGCACCCAATTTCATAGAAACAGCAATACAGGACTATAAAAAACAGATTATCCCCAAATCAGTAATAGTAGGTAATTTCAATACCCCACTATCTCCAATAGACAGGTCAACTGGGCAAAGAATAAACAGAGAGACATCTGAATTAAATGACATCTTATATCAAATGGACCTACCAGACATCTACAGAATAGTCCATCCAAGCACCAAAGAATACACTTTCTGCTTAGCAGCCCTTACAAGTTTCTCTAAAATTGGCCACATACTGGGACACAAAACAAACCTCAATAAATGCAAAAAAAATTGAAATAATTTCATTCACTTGATCACACCACAATACAATAAAGCTTATAATCAACAGTAAAAGAAACTCTAGTAACTACATGAACTTGTGGAGATTAAACAACACAGTCCTGAATGATGAATGGGTCAAAGAAGAAAGTAAGAAAGAAATAAAGGTATTTTTGAAACTAAATGAAAATGGTAAGACAACACAACACAACAAAACCTCTGGGACACTTTAAATGTAGCTCTAAGAGGGAAGTTCATAGCTCTCAGTGCCTACATTAAAAAAAATCTGAAAGAGCCCAAATAAATGACTTAACAGTACAACTCGAGACTCTGGAGAGGCAAGAAAAAAAACCAAACCCAAAGCTAGTAGATGAGAAGAAATAAAAATCAGAGCAGAAATTAATGAAATAGAAAAAAATAAAACAATACAAAGAATCAACGAATCTGAGAGCTGGTTCTTTCAAAAGTTAAAGAAGACAGGCAGATACTTAGACCAGTTAACCAAAAGAAAGAAAGAAAAAAATCCAAACTAACAAAATCAGAGATAAAAGGGGAAACAATACAACAGACACCAGAAAGATCCAGAACATTATAAGGGACTACTTAAAAAAAACCTGTACTCTATTAAAATTGAAAATCTAAAAGAAATAGATGAATTTCTAAATTCATGGAAACCACCCAAGTTAAACCAGAGGAGATCAACACTTTAAACAGACCCATAACAAATAAGGAAATTGAAATAGCAATGGAAAACCTCCCGACCAAAAAAAAAAAAAAAAAAAAAAAAAAAAAAAAAAAACAACAAACCAGAAAAACAAACAGCCCAGGCCTAGATGGATTCACAGAATTCTACCAGACATTCAAAGATCTACAACCAATACCTCTTATATTATTAAAGAAGATAGAAACAGAAGGAAAACTCTCTAATTCCTTCTATGAAGCCAGTATCACTCTAATACCCAAACCAGGTAAAGACACACACACACAAAAACTATCAGTGGATGGACTTGCACTGGAGAACGTCTGGGGACACTGACTTGACACAGTGGGCCTTAACACAGATGATAGAGTACATGAGTTTCAGTTGGGGGTATGGGAGAGTGCTGG